AAGTATTGTCCAAAGTTCGCTGAATTCGACGGTGAAATGGTCGAATTTCCTTCAGATTTTGTGAAATTTCGTTTTTCCTCAATAACTCCCGAACGGATGGACGTAGGGGTGCGTTTATGGGGTTTTTCTTATAGAGGAGGACCTGATCTACAAGAAAGGTCGTATGCATTATTAGCATTGTTTAAGTATATGGCCTACACATCCTTAATAAACATATCGGTTATTCTTTTAGCAAATATATGTATGTATATCTGCTTTAAAAAATGAAAGCAGATATGTAATTAGTTTAAAAAAATCATAATTTAATGTTACAAATTATAGTAACGTGTGTTGAGGGATTTAGGCTTACAGAGAAACATAATTTAAAGCCAGGAAGGACGGTTTCCCGGCTGGATCCAAGGCGATATTGTTCCAATGCTTGTCGATGAACAAAAGAAGCGCACCCAATGCGTGCATCATCGTGCAACATTTAAAATCCAATATAGTGTTCAGGAATGTCAGCCTTTCAACGTTGCTCACATTCTTCGGTTCGAATTCTACTCGAAGGCACCTCACCCTGTGAGAGCACCGTTCGAAGCTATATTCCTTTTTACCAGTTATGTGTAACGTTGAAGTGATTCCACTTGTCCGCGAATCGAACGACTTCGACTCTTCCGCTATTATAATTTCCTTAACGACTTTCAAAAATGCAGCGGACGAACCAGCGTTCACGACCACGTGCCTCGGTGCGCATTGTCTGTACAGAGCTTTCACTACGTCGAAATGCTCGGCGTCGTCCATCGTGTCTTCCAAAACGAATAATTCAGACGTGACCACGTTATAGTAAGCGGCACCGAGTTTGGTATTGAACCAGAACATAGATAGAATTATCTGAGGGATGACAATATTTTTAATTGCTACGCGACTAATCCGTCCAGTGAATCTCATTAATATCCACATATATTTCAAAACGGAATAGTTTTTAAATTCATTTAGTATCGACCGTAGAAGTTGTAATTAATAAAATTAAAGATCTGTGAACTTTTGTAATTTTATGATAATAAGTTTTAGAGGATTCAAGTTTAGAGTCAAGTAATTTTGACTGGTTTGGTAGTCCTAGTGTTGAAATCCCCAAGAGAATTAAATTATTTGGTCAAATATATAATAATATCCCATTTTAAAAAGTGTTCGAATGTAAATTCATTATGTATCATTTAAAAATAGAAGGGAAATAGAGAAATACCTCGTCTACGTCTTCGAGCATATTTCTCTCAAGTGGTACAGTCACCGTCGAATCCTGTCGAGGAGTTACATTTTTATTACGTACTGCGACCTCGCATGGTTCCGGTTGATTTTCTTCGTCGCTGCTTTCCTCCGATAATATTGCTTCGAAATGGTGACGTCTTTTAATCATGCGAAATGAAAAAATTAGTTAAGAGTAAAGATGGAATACAACGCGAGAGACATAGTAAATGAAATAAAGTACATTTCTGTGCTCGAAGGCGGGATTCTGTTAGTTGCAAATTCTGCGCTCGCTGAATTCGTAGTTACACGTTGAAAGTTGAGTCCAATATTACTGAATTCTTCCATGATTTCTTAATAATTCAATTGCAAAGTATAACTGAATTCAAATATACCGACGTTGCACGTCAACTGTCGCACGACGCTACCATCTTGCGCATGTGCGAGAATTTGCATTCAAATCGGAAATTATTATTGCAATTGAAATTGTAATTGGAATAAATGTTAATTTTATTTCGCTATACTTGACCAAACATGATCTAAAGCATCGATCACGCATTA